ATATGGATTCTATGGGAAATGTGATTCTGGAAGCTGCCTGTTCACAGACTGGTTCCTGACCCATCCTACTGCCCTGTGGGATTTAACTGTCATCGCCATTCTCTCCTGGCCCTTTGATAAGTCGTTTCTGTCCTCGTTTCCCCACAGGTCCCTTGGGCTTGGCAAATGCCTGCTTGAAAGCATGCTGCTTGGGGTGGACCTCATCATACAGGAATTCTGCAGTCAGCTCAGCTCCGTCATCAATCTCAATCTGAAACAGAAATAGCATAAGGAAAGGAAGTTAACTCCATACTGCTGGCTCCTGACAGCTGATCCACTGCTGTGTCAGAACCACTGCCTTCTCTCTCTGGCTCACGGGATGAGAGCATCTCATTGCTGCCTTCAAAAACCCATACAAGAAAAGCCATTTCCTTTCTCCCAGTACACATAATCCCTTCCAGTCAATCACTTGGCTTGGCTTATGGAACTGAGCAGTCCAGTACAAAAAAACACATCTAGCTTTCAGAGTCTTCACCAGCCACCACTCTCAGTGGGAAGCAGCTACCTCCACATTGATGCTCTATTTGATGCCATGCTATCAGCTTCCTCATTCACTCTCCTTACTAGATGTTCAACAAAGTTTTCCCTGTGCTTTGACAGGCAGTGACCCTTGCTGCCATATGTAAATTCATGTGAACTCTGGTAACATTTCTCACTCTGTGAGGGGCAAATTAAAAGACACTAAACCTTTCCAGTGAGAAGACGAAGCAAGAGGCAAGGACAGAAGCAACTGCAGCCTTACGTTGCTAAACTGGTGCTACCCATGCCCTTCAGTTAAGGGGAGACTGCAAACCACAAACTCTTCTCATGTCTTCCCCTATTTTGATGCTGGTTTTTAAATACAGACATTAAAGTTGGGGGGGGGGGGGGGGGGTTTTTGGGGCCGTTAAGTGGGGGGGGGGGGGGGAGTGCTTTAGGTCCTGTCTAATTCATTGCTAAGGAGTCAGTAAGAGATTTGTTCCCTATAACAGGTTCTCTAGCACTCTATCCAGGGTTGGATAGGACTGTTAACACTTCCTATCAGAGACTGACTTCTGTTCAAGACTAAAGAACAATGTCAGGACATTGCTCACAGATGTTCACCTTCAAAGGTCCCAATGCTTATCTCTTTTCCTCGGCTTTTTAGTTGGCATGGCCAAGCATTGGCAAAGATGAGGAAACGTAGATTTACCTTCTTTGCAATTTCCAGGCAGAAGTCCTGTTCCACAGTATCCAGCAACCGACTCTTGCAGCTGGAATAAAGCATGCGCTCCTTGATGCTGCATTTGTATCCAGGCATGGAGTAGATAAACACTGCAACAAAGAGCAAGCCAGTTATCAAAACCTAGGTCTAAACAGCCAAAGAACAGTGGCAAGAGGCAATCATAGAATCATAGAAAATTAGGGTTGCAAGGGACCTCAGAAGATCATCTAGTCCAACCTTCCCTGCTCAAAGCCAGGAGAGAATCTAATCCTAGGTCCCACCCAGATGTACCTCATATACCTGTGGGATAAAGAGACTGCTACACATGCAGACCTCTGCTGAATTCATTAGCACAGCACTGTGAGCAGGTTCGTATGTCATAATAACAATGACATAGATATCAAAAGAAAAAACCTCTTGAACCTAAACAGTTTTCTTCTCCTAGGACTAACTTTAGGAAGGCTAACTTCAGTGAGCGTAAGAGTTTAGTCAGTGATGCACTGCAGGATAGGAGTATTGGCGAGATACGAGTCCAAGAAGGGTGGTCGTTCCTAAAGGAAACGATACTTCAGATGCAGAGGGAGACTATCCCAATCTGAGGCAAAGGGGGCAAAGGAGCCAAAAAACCTCCTTGGCTAAACAGAGAATCCAGGGAAGCCTAAAGGCAAAAAAAGAGGCATACAGGTAGTGGAAGCAGGGGGAAGCTACCAAGGAGTATACCTACTTGGCCCACACTTGCAGGGAAACAGTTAGAAAGGCCAAAGTAACTACGGAGCTGAGGCTGGCAACACAAATTCAAGACAACAAAAAGTCTTTTTTTTAGGTATGTAGGGAGTAAAAGGAAGGTGCAGGGCAGCATAGGACCCCTACGTAACAAGCAGGAGCAGTTAGTGACAGACAGGGGAGACAAGGCTGAGCTCATCAATGAGTTTTTTGCCTCAGTGTTCCTGAACAAGGGTCAAGATAAGTCTCCTAATGGGTTCTTAGATGGGCATCAGAGGGACACCAGACCACCAACTCTTGACCCTGACTTGGTGCAGAGTCACTTGGATGGACTGGATGTGTTCAAGTCAGCAGACCCAGATGAACTTCATCCGAGGGTACTGAAGGAATTGGCTGGTGTCATAGCAGAAACCCTGGCGCAGCTGTTTGAGTGCTTGTGGCATTCAGGTCTGGAGGACTGGAAAAGGGACAAAGTGGTCCCTATTTTCAAGGAGAGGAAGGAGGATCCGAGTAATTATAATCCAGTTAGTCTCACCTCTATCCTCGGAAGAGTCTTTGAAAAATTTCTTAACGATCATATTTGTGGGGGTCCAGCGGGAAAAATAATGCAGCAGGGCAACCAGCATGGATTCACAGCAGATAGATAGTGCCCGACTAACCTGGGTTTTTTTTTATGACCAGGTCACAAAATGCTCAGATGCAGGAGTAGAGGTGGATGTCGTTTACTTGGATTTTAGGAAGGCCTTCAATACAGTATCTCCCCCCATTCTCATAAATAAATTAAGAGTCTGTGACTTAGATGATTACAGAGTCTGGTGGGTGGCAAATTGGCCTGGGGGGGTTGCACCAAGAGTGGTGGTGGATGGGTCGGTATCGACCTGGAAGGATGTGGCAGTGGAGTCCCGCAGGGCTCGGTCCTTGGACCTGTCCCCTCAATGTCTTCATCAGTGACTTGGATGTGGGCGTGAAGTGTACTCTGTCCAAATTTGCAGATGATACTAAATTCTGGGGGGAAGTGAACACTCTGGAGGGTAGGGAATGATTGCAGGTGGACCTGGACAGGTTGGAAAAGTGGGCAGAACACAACAGGATGCAGTTCAACAAGGACAAATGCAGTGTTGCACCTAGGGTGTAAAAATATCCAGCACACTTACTGGCTGGGGAATGACCCTCTCAGCAGCACAGAAGTGGAAAGGGATCTTGGCGTCATAGTGGACTCCAAAAAGAACATGAGTTGTCAGTGTGACAAAATCATCAGCAAAGCTAACCACACTTTACCGTGCATTAGCAGATGCATGATGAACAGATCCAAGGAGGTGATACTTCCCCTCTGTGCGGCATTGGTCAGATCACAGTTGGAGTACTGTGTCCAGTTTTGAGCGCCATACTTTAAAGAAGGATGTGGATAACCTCAAGAGAGTCCAGAGGAGGGCCACTCCTATGGTTAAGGATTTGCAGACCAAGCCCTACGACGAGAGACTAAAGGAACTATATCTCTTTAGCCTCTGCAAGAAAAGGCTGAGAGGTGATCTTGTGGCTGGCTATAAATTCATTAGGGGGAGGCAGCAAGGAACGAGAGATGCTCTGTTCACCAGGGTGCCTTTTGGGGTAACAAGAAGCAGATTTAGGCTGGATATCAGGAAGAACTTCTTCACAGTAAAGGTGGCCAGAATTTGGAATGGGCTTCGAAGGGAGGTGGTGCTCTCCCCTACCTTGGGGGTCTTTAAGAGAAGGCTGGAGAGGTATCTGGCTGGGGTCATCTGACCCCAGCACTCTTTCTTGCCCATGGCAGGCGGTTAGATTTGATGATCTGTTGAGGTCCCTTCTGACCCTAGCATCTATGAATCTATGACTACATTTTCTGTTGCTTGCAGCTGAATTGCCTCAGGTCCATCCAGAATCCTTGTTGTTGGGGACTTTAGGGACTGGGGAATAGCTTATAAGGGCTTCTACTGGAAGACTGGCTCAGAGGAGCTCATTATAGATAACTAATAGTAATGTAATTAGGGACTGGTAAAGTAGGACATAAGCCCTGATTGCTGATGTAGTGGGAGTGCTCTCAAGGTCTCTTTAGCTTGCCTGTTCTGCTTCTCGCTTCCCAAAACTGGTGGGCACTCTTGTGCCAACTACTAGTTCCCTCCACCTGTTGCACCACCCTGCAGCCTCGCATTACTCTTAACTGTTTCTCCATATCTCCCTCCACAGTGCCACAGAAGCAAGGAGCATAGAGCCCGCCTAGTTGTCAACCATTGGCCTACGTGTTAAATGGCTCTGAGCAAGTAATAGCAGAGATGTACAAGCACTGCAGAGAGCTTACCAACAGATTCCAGGTAGTCCCCCTCATGGGTGTGTTTGTACAGGAAGAAGTGATAGCGAGCAGAATCCTGAGGGATCCTTTTTGGGAGATCTGCTATCTCTGTGGGGTTCGTATGTACCAGCTCAATGATCTCTTGTTCAAGATCCAGTTTCTGATTAACAAAGGAGAGAAAGGGGCAGGGGAAACATAGGGAGCAAATGATATGTCAACATAAAATACACTATGAAATAAAATGCTATGACTTCATTCAGAGGAAGCATAGGGGAGGCAAGAAGAAAAGAACAGAAGAATGTGTGCTGAACTAAGAAGCTCAAGGGAGACTGGCAGTGCCTTCTTACCAGCTGGATGTAATTGATTTTCTTCTGCTTTAGTAACTGGACAGCTTGCTGAACATCACGCTGCAGAGGAAAAGCCAGTCCCTGCAGAGTCTGGTGTTTGCTCTCCACACTGATCTCGGTCTTCACCTGACAACAGAACGCCATGAATTCAAAAAAGACAGAAGAAGTAGGTGGAGAGGATAAGGAGAAATAAACCAAACACAAACTGGGCTATTCTCCAACTGCCAGGATAGGAGACTCACAGCTTACAGAGCAAAAATGCTTTTCCTGAGGCTCCTTCTGGGAAAGAAGCTCCTGCCAGGGCCTTCTGGGGTGCATTATGTACAAAGTGAATTGCAGTGTTTTCCATCTTGACCAAAGCCAGCCAATTCCATCCTATCAATGACCTTTAGAACATTAATAGCCTGGAAAAAGATCCTAAGCCTAGCTGAGATGGGAGCTGAGGGCAGTCTATGTAACTGACTCTGAGATCACAAAGGGAGAGCGAAGAGTAGACCTGAACTGTTCCTGAGGCAAATGGGCACCCATCTAACAGAAGTGCTCCAGCATGCTCTTCCACCTGTTATTGTCCAAGAAATTCTACCACCATCCCCAGATATGCAGGGATCCACATTTCAAGTCACCTCAAACCCAGACTATCACACTATTTCTGGCAAGAACTATGAAGGCTACTTGGGAATCACTGCTGGTGCAACAAGCAGCAGTATGCCTGCTTAGTGGAATAAATCATCAGGACATGGAGCTAATAACTTTGAAAAATCAGATACAATTTAGTGTCTTGCTCCTTATCACTAAGGCCTTAAATGGTTGTGGGCCAAACTATTTGTAGGACCACTGGTCTCCAGGTACTGCTTCTCTAGTAACTACATTTGATGGGGACATGGAGGCTGTTACAGACCTTCTGGTGCTCAGGGACAGACCATTCTCTGAGGATAGCTCTCAAATATGGAATTCTCTGCTGCTGGATATCAGTTAAGCCCAAGTCTAGCCACCTTCAGAACAAGAAGCAAGACAAGCCTTTTTCAACAAGCCTCCTCTTCAAGTTGAATGGACTGATCCAGCCAAATAATTAAGGAAACATGTCTTTGAGGCTTAATTGTACCAAGGGAAGCAATTTGAAATCACAGGGAGGATGGGCAAAGAAGAAAATACTTTCTCGGTTCTCCCCCATTCCCTGGGTTTATTGCCATGTCAAAACTAAGCAAATCAGGCTCAGTTACTATGAAGACAGACACCTGAAAATTACACCACATTAGTAACATATGTAGATTATTGCCTTAGAAAAAAACTAGTTTTCCTCCTCCTTGTCTGAGTTTTTTAAAATTCATTAGCACTGTTGCCTCACGACCCGGTGAAGTGGCAAGGCAAGACTGATGCATTCCTCAAACAGTTCACTTTGTGCATAATGCAACCTAGAAGGCCCATTTGCCATCCAGGAAGAGCATAAAACAACTGCAGGTGCTTCCTCTACTTGAAGAAGGGTGTTTGTACCTGAGAGCTTGCAAAGAAGAATTTTTCCAACTATTTTAGTTGGTCTATTAAGATATTGAATTTACCCAAAGAACTTTGTCTCCTCAAACTGACACATTTACATGGTGATACAGGAAAGTTGCAAGAAAGAAGGGACCGAAAGAGCCATAATGTTAACAAAATTCAGACTTAATCAAAATGATGAGTATCTATCAAAAATATGGTTGCAAAATAAGAGACCCAATATTGAAGGAATGAGAGATGGATTTCGTCTCAGTTATCCAAGGCTACAAAGAGGCATTTCACTGTGCTAGTACATGGGTTGTCAACTGGGGGTACGCGTACCCCTGAGGGTACTTGGGAAGGCCCCAGGGGGGTACGCAGTGGTGTTGCAGAAAATTGGGGGTACTTGGGAAGCGTTACCATGCGCCGCCGTGCCACCACCGTGTACCTGTGCGCTGCTGGGGTACCCGCCAGAAGGGGTATTTTCTCCTTAAAAAAGGTTGAAAACCCCTGTGCTAGTACAAAAAATAGTGTAGACATTCGAGGGATTTTTCATGGAAGAAAACTGGTTTTCACAAAAAAATGAGAGCTCTTTCAACCAGGAAGTTCTCTCTCACAAGAAGCTTTCTTGCACCAGCTTAAGAAGCTTGCACCACACTTGTCTTGGCCCTGAGGAACCCCAGCATCCCATAGTCCTCCACTCTTCTTCCTTTCCACCATGGGAGAGGGAGAAGAAAAACGTTTACTCCCTGATGGCCCCACTCAGCAGACAGCTGTCAGGGAGCCCTGTGGGAACCATAGCTGCTGGGCACCTGAATCAGCATCCAAACTATTCAAGCTGCCAGTGCTTCTACCTTGTGCACAGACTATGTAGCACACTATAATTGTGCAAGGGTTGGAGAAAGAGGGGGAAAGGAGAAGGGAAGAAAGAGAGCATTACCCAGTGGCTTGACCTGTCCCAGGTATCCCCAAGACAGGACAAGCCCTGCAGCTCTCCTGCAGGGAGGCTGACCCAAGGCACGAGTGGGGATTTGACCCCACTCCATGCAAGGGGCATTCCCCCTGTGGCCCAATCCAACTGAGGGAGCCCAGGATGATTTAAGCCACAACACCTGTGCCTTCCCATTCCTTTTACAGAATTAGGTCACCCTCGGTCTGTGCAAGGGGCGAGGAGCATTCCACTGAAGCTCGACCCATGCTGAGGACACCTCAGTCTTGGCAACTGCACTGTCAAACACAGCCCTGGTTGCTGCTCAGAGAACAGTCACAGTTGCAGGACAGCAGCTGGGGCTGTTAGCATAGCCCCAGGTCTCCCACAGGAGCAAGGAGCACACCTCTCCTTCCCCAGTGGCAGGAGGCTGCCTTGCCCCTTCAGCTCCTTCCAGGTAATGTAGCTCACGTGACATAAGCTGAAGAGAGTCTGGGGAATAAAGGAGCTATTGCCCCTAGTTGGAAAGCTCCTCTTTAAGGAAACTGTATTACTCTCCAGCCACAAGGCTGAAAATGCCTTATTGCCATGTTTTCCAGTACTACAAATTTCCAGGAAGACTATTCCTGTGATGTTTGTGTGGCAATGAGAATTGAGAGGCAAGGACTACACAGAATTTACTGTGGCCAGTTCTTTGAGAGAATTAATCTTCTCTCAGACATTAAAAGGGAAACTTAGTCATGTGGACTGCTCTGTATTTTGAGCAAGTCTGGATGACGTGCTCTCCTCAGAATTAGTACAATAAATGAGCACAAGCATGTGTAACAAAATGATCAAATGGGATGTAGAGACACAAGAGGAAGAAGTTAGCTATTGCTCAAGCACAAGAATCATGAGCCAGGTTCTCACTGATAGAAATGGCATCAATTTATTGTTATAATGGGTCTTGTTTTAAAGATTTGCTGGAAGCTTTGCAAAGGATTTCAAAATAAATAAGAATAGGAGAAGACAAACTGGTTGAAACATACTTCTACTGAAAAATGCCATTTTGTCAAATTAAAAACGAAAGTGTGCGTCTTCCACAAAATTTCCCTTAAGAAAAATAAATGCTACTTTATTTCAGCTCATATAGAAATAGTTTTTGACACTGACAAAATGCGTTTGATTTTTCGCTTGTAAATGATGTTTCTGTTACAATTATTAGCTTAATATAGGAGTTAAAATCAAAAGTCTCAACTGGCCCAAAATAAAATGTTCAAAAACTTTATTTTATGGGAAATTTCACATTTTATGTTCTGATTTCCAACAAAAATTTGGAAATGATGGAGTTTCCTGTGACATGGAAACTTCTAGTTCCCACACAACTCAAGAAATGATTATGCTAGTTTCTTGATCCAGGTGAACAGCCATCTTCTAGCATGTTACCGTATTTCAGCATGTGATCTTAGCCAAGCTCCCTAAAAATAATCTTGTTTGACAAAGTAATGTTACTTTTGTTATAGAAGGATGCCTAGTTTAGAGTTACGGTATAGATAGAAAGCACTGTCCCTAGAACTATTGTTTTATTTCCCTAAATCCCTGATTCCTGGGCTTGCTTTACAACTCCTTCCTGTTATGTTCTGTATTCTGAAGCATGTAAAAGCAATAAGATCCTTATTGCCAGGACTGAAGCTGGAAGGCACTAACCTAATACAAATAATACATAATCCCTTCTCAAAATGGCAATTGGCATTTTTCATATTTCTGGATGCTGTGAAATAGCATGATTTTATGCTTGCAAATTTCAACCTACTAGTTAGGAAATTTCCAGGTCAATAAATCCACTCTCCAATGCACCAAAAACCACTTCAAAAGGAGATTAAAAGAAAAAAGGAAAAGTATTATAGATGATTTCACCAGAAATTCTCACCACCCACCAAGTAATGCACTCTTCACATTCCTCTTGGTAACCTGAGTGGTTCATTTCTGCACAGAGCTTCCATGCTCAGATATTTAAAAAGCAGCAGCCAAAATCCCACTCAGGGCAACATATGAAGAATGAATGGACCCAATGGAGAGGGAAGAGAAAGAATCTCTCAGGGATAGCTCAAAAGCACAACACATTGCAGGCAACAGGGCATACCTCCTCAGGGTGGGGGAATTCTACCAGCGATGGGCAGCAGCAACAACCCACTACAGTCTGTCACATGGAACACAGGGAGACAGAGCCACATCAGAATGACTTTCTGGAAAGCTTCATAAATCCAGTTTTCCCAGTAACCATGGGAAACCAAAAGTCTAAATGTGCTGTAAAAGCCATTTGTGATAGGGCACTTGAATACCTTAGCTATTCCACTGCAAATTGCATCTTTAGCTGCTTGTAACTTTCAGATACGTTAGCTTGTTGTGCTCTGTCTGAAATGGAAGGTTTTTCTTTTTTCATGGGGAACACAGACAGTTCAGTCAGATGGGGGGAGCAGGAAGAGAGGGTATGCATGCGAACAGAGGAAACTACCCATTAAAAAATAATTCAACATTTTCTAAGTAGCCAAGAAAATAAAATGGCTTGAAGATTATATTAATTTTGACCAAGGAAATAGTCCTCCCCGCAAAGCAGTACACAAACCTGTTTTGTACAGAAGGTTTTGATTTGACACAGGTATATATAATTGTAAATTGCATACTGAGCAGTCACAGTGCCTTTTTTGCCTATAAGGCATACTTATAAACTTGCTTTTTAGCCAAA